GAAACTGAAAAAGAAAGATCTCAAAAATTGAAGCTTTAGATCTAAAATGGCACCGACGCCATCTTCTTCTAGATCGAATCAAACCCAATTCACTCTAATCAGAACCCCACAAACCAAACAACGACTCAATTTCAACTCGAAAACCCTAAACCCAGATCCCGGATCCAAAGACCAAACACCACCGGAGCATCCAGTTGAAGTAATCGGTCGGATCCGAGATTACCCAGATCGTAAAGAGCCATCAACAGGTTCGATCTTGCAGGTAAACCCAGATAATCAAACGGTAAGAGTACGAGCTGATGTTGGGTACAGAGATTTCACACTCGATGGTGTTTCTTTCTCCGAAAAAGAAGGTCTTGAATCGTTTTACAAGAAGTTTATTGAAGAGAGGATTAAAGGTGTGAAGCTTGGGAATAAATGTACGATCATGATGTATGGACCAACTGGTGCTGGTAAAAGCCATACCATGTTTGGATGTGGGAAGCAACCTGGGATTGTGTACCGTTCCTTGAGAGATATTTTGGGTGATTCGGATCAAGAAAGTGTTACTTTTGTTCAGGTTACTGTTCTTGAGGTTTATAATGAAGAGATTTATGATCTTCTTTCAACCAATAATACCAACAATTTGGGAATTGGTTGGCCAAAAGGTGGAAGCAATTCTAAGGTAACTTCCTTGTTCCTCGAATTTGTGGTTTCTAGCTTCGGAATTTGGACTCTTTTATGATTGATTTGGATGAGTTCCTGATTGATTAGCCGTTGTCATTGTTATGTCAATTCTGGAAATTTGTGGTTTTTGGCTTGGAATTGTGGAGTCTTATATTGTGCTTTGTTGATTTATACAGGTCAGGCTTGAAGTAATGGGTAAAAAGGCGAAAAACGCGACCTTTATTTCAGGGACTGAGGCTGGTAAAATCTCTAAAGAGATTGTCAAAGTGGAGAAACGGAGGATTGTCAAAAGCACACTATGCAATGAAAGAAGTTCCCGGAGTCACTGCATGGTTTGTAATATTGATGGAAGCAATTTATAGCTTTTATACAATTCATGTCTGTTACAACTTACAAGTAATTGTTTCTCTCTCTATAGATCATTCTTGATGTACCAACTGTTGGAGGAAGATTGATGCTTGTTGATATGGCTGGTTCGGAAAACATAGACCAAGCTGGACAGACCGGATTTGAAGCCAAAATGCAGGTAATGTTTGCTTCTCTCAATCCATTTGGATTCTACCAAAGTTATTATGGTTTATGGAAATAACATCTTTATGTCTCTCTATTCAACAGACAGCTAAGATCAACCAGGGAAATATTGCGTTGAAGCGAGTCGTAGAATCTATAGCAAATGGAGACTCTCATGTGCCCTTTAGAGACAGCAAGCTGACCATGCTGCTCCAGGTGAAATTTCTGGAAGATGTTTTTTTGTGGTTGCTTGATTTATCCTTTGGAAGATGTTTTGTTGAAGATATTTAGTGTTGTTGTTTCTATTTTCTGGATGCAGGACTCTTTTGAAGATGACAAGTCAAAGATTCTAATGATCCTATGTGCAAGCCCGGATCCAAAGGAGATGCACAAGACTCTATGCACTCTAGAGTATGGGGCAAAAGCAAAATGCATAGTTCGTGGGTCTCATATTCCAAACAAAGACAAGAATGGTGGCGATGAGTCTTCTTCTGCTGTTATATTGGGAACAAGAATAGCTGCGATGGATGAGTTTATTTCTAAACTCCAGTCTG